CAAATAATGGTTGTTTTAAGTTAATACTAGGAATGATTAATGAGAAAGAGAAGGAATGTTTAAACACTTTCACCTATTTCCTATATCAATATTTGATGTCTTCACTGAAGAAATTAGAAAGTTTGACCAGATTGTCTATACTTCAAACGAACAAGATGTTTGGTGTCCCATTGATGTCCTTTCAAATTTATGTATCTGGGATTTATTATATGACATAACCACATTGTGTTAAGTCATCAAACTGGTCATATGACCAGGTGATGGTCAGGTAAAATGACTAAATATGGTCACATTGTAGCTAAGGAATTGGACATGAGACAAAAATGTGTCAATGATATCTAGTAGAGAAAATGAATTAAGGCAAAAGTGGTTGTGAGGTAAGGTGATAACGACTTTGGGGAGAACAGTCCAGCTGTAAAGACCCATTCCTGTCTACAGTGCTTCTCCTCATTTCACACTATTCTGACTTGGGAACAAAAACTTACAGGACTTGTAATATTATGAAACTTAAGATTTTTAACTTTAACTGCAAATAACTGCAGAGCCATAGCAAGAAACATTGTACATCACAGCTGTAATGTCATATCGGAACATGTATAAAAGTGACCAACACAATGCTGATGTCTTGTCTTTCACACAAGAAAATCACAGTAACCAAGATTCAAATCAATCTTTTTCCTTTCACACTCCCAAAATGATCTTTTCAACACATTTCAATTGTCTAAAACTTAATGCTTTAAAAAAAAAATTTTCCATGAAAAACATTCTTCAAACAGACTTTCCACCTTCTTTCATAAGAACTTTTTCTATGCATCCCTAAAAATATATCTTTCTTTACACATGAGTTCAGGCACTAGAGCCAACGCCGTGCGTTCTCGTTGGGTGGATAGTAGATGCCTCCACTCCTCAGCTGGATATCCCCAGGTATGCCGGGTGATTGATCAGAAGAGAGAATCAGATAATAAATATCAATCACAACAGTCTGCAGAGTGGTTATTCCTTGACTTTATTATTAATCGTCTACCGGTTTTGCCCTCCCGGGCTTCTTCAGGACGAAAATCACAATTTTTGAGCTGCATTTTGAGTACATCTGATTTTCTTTACACATGATTTTTACACACTCTTTTTCGGAATTTCTAAATATTGGGAATATTTCCCAAATTCATTTTCCTCAGCAGAAGTGAATCATAGTTATAAAAATATAAACATTATATAAAGCACATATTGCTATATCTGAATTCCTATGATTTTACTAGTGATGGGCAAGTCAGCTTTACTCAAACAAAAATTCTCATTATTTCTTCTTTTTGTCCCAGTTTCCCCCCTTCCCTATTTAATTCCCTTTTTCTTGACATATGCATTAAAATCATCACTGTTGAGTTTGTAGGCCCAGTGCTGGAGCGTCTGTCTAACGACTGGTGAGACCGCCTTGTTGTCGTAGCCACATCCCGTCTTAACACACTTTGAGATTAGATTGTTTCTCCACCTCCCAGTAACACCGGCACACCGTAGCCAGCGCCCAACCTGTCGTTCATCGTCAGATGTCCGTCTGCCTTGGTAAAACCTACAAAAGTTAACTCTGGATACAAAATCTACATCAACTCAAGGTTAAATACATAGTCAAGGCTAACCACAGAGGGCCAAATAAGGATCCAGAAATTTCTATTTTTGTGTTGTTGTTTCTGCCTGTCAACAATGAAGAGACATTTCAGGCCATGGATTCAGAAAACCCTAACGTAGTAAAGGTTACAATTTAAAGAAGACCTTACCTACAATACCACTGGAACCAGCCATAGGGATCTTGTTTGTGTATCCATCCACTCTCTTCCCACATGTCAAGACTTCCTCCACATTTGACCTTATAGGTGTTGACCTCTGTGCGGTATGAAGCACTAGTCACCTGTACACAGGTAGGAATAAAGAAACTGACTGACAAATCTAATGAATGGTTTCCTCAACATAGATGTGTTTGAATTGTTTGACCTCTTCAACAACTTTGATTATACAATCTCTTCCGAAGTTGTATAATTATATCATGTGATAAAACACAATGGCAGCTTTCATTTATGTGAAATAGAACAGTTCTCCAATAATTAAATGTAATAATTCTGGCTTAAATCAAGACATACCTGCAGAAATTAATACAAGCCTTTGAGAAAGCTCATCAGAGCTCAAAATAAGCCTATTGAACAACTCTGGTCTAACTGATTGATAAAGAAACCCTTGTGATGAAGAGACAATGTGATGCTGTATGACAATACATTATGTATGTAAAGCTATATTTCACCAGGTATGTAGGGCAAGTGAAACCAAAGTTTCAATGGTATAAAAGTAAACAGCACCCTCGATATGAAATTGGTTTTCCTATCAACAAATACAGGAGACAATTTTATAATAAATGCAAAATACCTGCTATGTCTATCCCTATTTTCATTTCCGAGACCACTCCAAATATTCAAGAGTTAGGTGACATCTTCAATTCAATCATTTAATTGTGATTCTTTGTTAAGTTAATTCTAGTAAATCGTCTGTCCCAACCCAGTACTTCCCGGTTTGTTTTAGACACTACCCACACAATTTAACCGATAACTTGCTTTGAGGTAGTACAAAGGAAATGGGACCATGGACAGAAGTGATTTATTTTAGAATCCTGGTATAAAGTAGAGAAAGGTTCTTTATTTCATTATTCTCAAAACCAATAGATCATTTTGGTGAATTAAATTATGAAAAAGTAACATATTTAGGATACATAAAAATTAATTTCACAGCACCTCTTTTACAGACATACCTGCTTGGCAATGTTCAGTCCCTCAAACCAATCACAAGGTAGTTCTTTGTAGACTTCTGTACCCGAGTAGCTTTTACCTGTAATGAGAAAAATTACCTACATTAGATATAATTCCAACTACAATCTCTAAAAAACCTTTGATAAGATGAGTGACAGAGATCTGTAAATTAATATCTTACCAGCTCTTACATATTAGTTCTCTGCTGCTTTTCAATAAAATTTAAAACCGATCTTCAATCAAGATATCAGTTGTACATGCTGCATTTAATTTTAAAATCATCCGAGTCAGTTTAGGCAGATGACTTGGATGTTGTGGTTTCCCTCAAATTTTTAACACATCGCTTGACAATATTGTTTGTGCCAGGTGAGATGACAGGAAACATTTACCTGTTGCGCCTGATCTGATCGAGCGGAAGTATGTTCCTCCAAAACTCCCAGCCTGTAAAACTTCTTTTGGAGTCAAGTTAGGTCGGAATTCCGGCCAATCTGGGAACTCTAACTGACCATTTTTGTTTTTAGATGGAATTTCTTCAGTAAATTTGAGATCAGTTGTCTGAAAAATAAGTTCCAATTAAATCCTAACATCTGTATATATTTCATTTTGTATCTTATAATTTGAAGTACACTAGGCAAAAGGTAAGTGTGTTACCACTGTGCCACCTGACCACCTGGTGAAATATTGCTGTCTCAAATAATGCTTGGTGTACTGTATATATGAAAGGCAGATACCAGAATCTTGGTTGTTTGGATGTTTTTGTTTTGTTTTTCTTTTCAAATTTTATAAAATGTGTTCTTGTTCATCTACTAAATTGCTATACAATGTTTACACACTTCATGTAATTTGACATTGCTTTTTAATTAATCAAACTGAATGCTCACAAAAATATGAACATATTTTAATGCCCACCTCAAAATTTGTTGCATCATCAATAAGCTTTGCGTAGTTCTTTGGTTTGTTCACCTGAACTTTTGCCTTTTTAGGTTTTTTTCCCTCTGTGTCAGCAGTGTGTTGTTTTAATTCCCGTTTCGGCATATTTTTTGCTGAAAAGAAAACATAACATATTTTAAAAAGAAAACATACATTACCAACTCATCATAGTAGCATGTTTCTATTGATAAATAAAATTATCCGAGTACAGCATCAGGGATACAGAGTACCCAATACTGGATTAAACTATGTATTTTTTTACTTGTCAATTGAACCAAGCGCCTGTGATCCATCTTTACAGCCAGCACACCTGTAGAGATATCAGAGCACTAAGTCTTCAGAAGCATGATCCATTTAATAATTACAGGATTATGAAGATTGGCCACTATTATATCATTCAAGGCATTTCCTTCAAAAATCATGTAAATGCAATATTTCAAGGCTGAAATATATCAGAGACATATATAACATGTGTTATATATGTCTCTGAATATATGAACAAACGAATTATACCCAATGGAAGCTCCAAATGTTGGCAAATATTGTACGCAGTATACAGTGTCGGCCAATGTAATCGTAACAGAATCCTAGTTCCAAGAAGAACCACGAATACCTTTGACCATAAGTTGTTGTACCAGCAACCGTTTCGTCTTGATGGTTTCTCGGGCTCAATTTATGTAACCTGTGCTAGTTACGTAACTCAAGTAGCTTTCCTTCGCCAGACTAACAGTATTTTTCAGTGTGTGAATTTACTTCTGCGATCTGCGCAACGAAGATCTAGTTATCCTAGATAGATACCAGATTCATGGAAGTCTAAAAAGGCGAAAAACCGGTTTCCTGGTGTGCTTCTTGTCGTGTCTTCTCGCATGTGTACGTTAGAAAAAGCTATGACAAAGGGCCGCTGACCGCACAGAGAAAATGGTGGGGTTTACTAAAGGCAAGAGTACTGGCCAGTCTTGACCAGAATATACTGCACGACACAACATATTGTGTATCAATTCGTTAACTACGGATTTGATTTCCAAAAACGTAACTCAATGTACGGAATCTGATTTAAGTGCAAGGTGATTTGTCAGCTAAATACAATCTTCCTGGGTTCTTCGCAAACTTTCTAATTTTCCAAACGAACCAGGAAGGACCGGACTTGTCATTTTTCCCAAATAGCTGCGCTCTTTGTTTTCCAAGTGAAGAGAGTTGAATATTAAATGTAAGGGAGACTAATATTTTATCAAAAAGCTAAAAAAAAGTACTATGTATAATAAATACAGTGATGTACTGAATCGTAAGCGTGGTTTTATTATCACTATTATTTTAATACGACTGCCTTCACTCAGAGACGTATATATACGTCTCTGGTTATACGAATCAAAATATGAAGAAACGTGCCGAGTCGAAATCATGTGAACTTACTTCAGTTTAATGTGAAACATGCAATCTGTTTGATAATTGTCGGAGCTTGTTCTGCAGAAGTTTACTACACACAAATTATAGTTTCCTATAAGTGACTATCACAACAGTGTATACATGTATGTGCAAGAATCGTGACAAAGTCAAGTTAAAAAGTATTTAAAAAGTAAAGTTACACTAACATAATTATATCCATGTGTGGGGGTCCTGTGAAGAGATAACGACATGTGAATGGTAAAACTCAAACGTCTTCCTCTACAGAAAGAATGCCAGATACCATGCGGTGAAATACCGCTGACTTTGTAAAATGGATGGAAATCCCTGTCAGTAGGAGGTAATCAGTAGTCACCTATGACTTGGTATTGCCCATGACGTATCCATAGTCCCACTCTTTCACCGACACAATTCCGCCGTGTCACGTATCGTGGCGACGTTTTGCCAACATCCTACGACATCCAATGTCGCTGGCGGCATGATATTCGCAACCAGTGTCCAAACCATGAAGTTATTCCGTTCAAGTATTCATGCTTTAAACGCTATATGGACATAGGCTGACACATCGCCGACACCCACGCAATCTCTCCCAGAGTCCTTTGCGCCGGTATCTATGCGTGGTGCTATGTGATAGGTTGTATTCTGTGTGTCACGGTGTGATTACACTCATGTCCAATAAGAGACAGTGCGTCCCTATGCATCCGTATACAAATGACACAGGCAACGCTCACAACTTTTGATATATGTATGAGTGTTTACATATATGTACGTGACAAATATCACGTACGTACGTGATATTTGTAACAAATTCCTATGGAAAAAATATAACATTTTATATAAAGAATTGGGCACAAGTTACAACTTGAACATTATTAACGCCATTTCATTCAGTAGAAACACAATTACATTATACACATTTCGAGCTGGCTCAAAATAATTATATACATATTATTTTTAATTAAGAGCGAGAGGGAGAGAGAGATCTACTAAAATTTCATGGCTGAATAAATACTTTCTTACAAAACTACATCTTAGATATATCTTATATAGAGCTAGAACCCTGAGAGCAGGGAAAGACATTTAGGCAGAGAGACAGAGAGTAGGGGAGAGACATTTAGGCAGAGAGACAGAGAGTAGGGGAGAGACATTTAGGCAGAGAGACAGAGAGTAGGGGAGAGACATTTAGGCAGAGAGACGGAGAGTAGGGGAGAGACATTTAGGCAGAGAGACGGAGAGTAGGGGAGAGACATTTAGGCAGAGAGACGGAGAGTAGGGGAGATACATTTAGGCAGAGAGACAGAGAGTAGGGGAGAGACATTTAGGCAGAGAGTAGGGGAGTGACATTTAGGCAGAGAGATAGATGGAATGATAAAAGTCCACTGTCAGAGTGGCCAGCCGTGGAAATCAGAGATTGTCCATGGTATGAAGAGGATATTTATTGTTTAACATTAGTATGGTGATTATTAAGAGAGTGAATATGACTTAATTCGATTGAGGTTGAAAGTCAATTAACAGGAAATTAGAGAAAGTGATCATTGAAATTAAACAGAGTCGTTGGAACAGAATGTCGTGTGTGGTCGTTGAGGTTGAACGATGATATGTAAAGGATTATCGCGTTCTGAGAAGAGAGAGAGTGTTGTGTGGACACCAGAGAGTGGAGATACAATATGTAAATAAATATTTTGAACTTAGATAAACTGTAAATAGAAATGGCTCGTAGTCATCATTCTACAACTAGTGTTCGTTTGTATGTTTTTGTTTTGTTTTTGTTTGGTTGTCATTTTGAGCCGGAGTGTCTATGTTGAAGTTGTTGCTTAGCAAGATTAGTGGTGACTACCTCGCTAAAAAAAGGCGGGAAACCCGCCAGATATCATTTAAAAGGGTAAAGTTGCCTTTCCTGGATAGCTCAAGACGATCTATCCGTGATACAGCTGGGATGACCCGGTTCGTCCTGACAACTCGACAAGCTAATGGCTAACTGTCCAGGCTATGTTCATAAGACTAGTAAATGATGATTACAGAGAACAACGCTTCTTAGGTTTTTTTCAGGCAAAGTAACCGATTCCAATATTGCATGTATACCTACACAATGTTGTGCTCGTGGTGTATATAGTACGTAAAACTCGTGTTTTAATTTGGGTCTATGTAACAATTTAACACGTAATAAATGTCTGTTAATGCAGTATGCGTTTGAGTGAACATATCTTGGAGTGAAGTATTTTTGCCAGCCGTTCCATCTGGCTTCGGTATTACAAACGTACTTGAGACCGACTCAATTTGAGATTTGAGTACGAATTCAAAAACTCAAGCTCAGCGTCAGTAAATCGATATCATAAACAAAAAACTCAACTCAACCTCGCAAGCTGAGGCGAAAAAGGGGGAGACTGCACAATATCAGACGTAGTTTAAACCCAAGCTTAAGTAGAAGAAGACTATTTAATACAGTGATACAGTTAATGGCTGATTCTCTGGGAATGAGACACAGATGACGATGACAAATTGAAGTCAGGCGTCTCTTTGGCTTCGAGAAGAGGTCATTTTTAGAAATGGAAAATGATTTCGTTTTGGCAGAGAGATAAGAAACTCTGATAAATGTACATTTGTACAGAAAAGAAGGTCAATTCTCTACACACAAAAGTTGTTCAGTCATCAATTATAGGTTAAAATGATGTTGATATGGTCTATATGTTTTTAGAGTTTCCGCAATGTCGCGGCTGGTCCTAGTAGACAGGTATCTCGAACTCGGAGAAGTTTACGGGAAGAGGGCAAGGCCCACACGCGCAAGGAACCAGATGAACAATCAAACTGTGTTCCAGGGTGTTCAGAGGAAAAAACGCACAAAAACGTATTTTAATGTCAAGGATAAAGGCTGACGGCACATATAGAGAAGTTGTCAACTCTGTTCTTGAACATGCTGCCGTTAATGGCGTAAAAGTCACGTATGTTCGCATCCTTATGGAGGGGGATTACCGCCATAATTATGTTAGTTATTTTCTCCCTTTTAAATTTGGTTCTATGTTCATATATGTAGTTTTCTTCGCCGAGAAGTGTCTATTTTCTATGCCATGTATATTTGTATTATTGCACTAGCTTGATAATCTATTACCTGCAGATTCATTCTACATATAAATCTTATTCTATGTCTATTTTAAATATTTATTCGTCGTCAAGGATCTATTTGATGTGCTATGCACATTTGTATCGGTGCGTTCGTTTTCAAATCGATTGCATGCGATGCAAGTTTTCATTCCATTTTAATACGAGGTCAACCCATCTCGATTTCACATAGTTTAAAAAAATAAAAAATCTATTTAAATTTTGTAACTGTTCCGAAATCAGTAATGACAAAAATCCGAAACTAGGGTTTTGGATTGGGCGCCGCTTGTCGTCATAATGAGGAAATAAAATTATAGTTCCTCATTATGACAACAAGCGGCGCTTTAATCGCAATCGAAAATAAAGCTTTCTCCCTACAAACCGGAAGCGAATCGGAATACGGCAGTTAACCGCGGGATACGAAACGGATTACGGCCGGTTGGCGGGTACCGACGGAAGATATTAAATTAAGTAAGTGATGTTATCTTGTTAACACAAGATATTTAGCTGATAAATCTTTAGTTTGTACCACATGATTTTGTTGCAGGTAAATGGACATGTATTGTGTACACCTCCGTTGGTTAGATCGGTTCAGTTACAATGTGTGTTTGGGGTAGATTTAAGAAGCAAGATCTAGGTAGGCCTACATATGAAGCCGTGTTTAGTTTCAGACAGATTTGTTGGTAAATTATTAAAATAAATTCAATCGATAAATTCATCACAGATTACAGATAAAATATTATAGAAGCTTTATTTAAGGCTGATTTGGCAAGATAAGCATGGAAAACATCATTAACTGTTGGAGAAAAGGAAAATGGTTTTTAAATAAACCGTTAATAGTTAATACACACATTTATAATAAGTAAACGTGTTTTTTTTAAAACTTTCCTATAGTGTTGAGCTCGGCAAGAGCAGCGGAATATTTACGCGAGGCTGCAGCGGCATTGACCGCAACAGCACCCGAGACGCACACGAGAGAAGAATCAGGAACAGCATGCAGCACATCTATCCCATTTCGGCCCACAAGTTTGTCTTTGGCAAGTGAATTGAGAAATATTTTGGGCCCAAATAGGAAATCTGGGAAAAATGCAGGAGGTGCTACAGGTCCTCAATGGTGTCACAGATTTTGCGCCCATCCAGGTGGAATATAAATACAATGGCATCCAATAGGAATGTTGAATGATGCTGTCTTTGCAATAGGTTTGTGAACATAGGCACTCTTACAATAATTTGTTGAGGGTGATGGGTGTTGTAGGTATATGTGGCCACAGTGCAGGGCCCTTGCTGACCTGTCGGTATTCTAGTTTGAAGTGTTTTAGGGGAATATTTTTTCTAAACATATCAACTATTTACTCATAAATAATTTTCCTGAGAAAAAAAAACATGAAAAGCTTCATAGCAAAAGGCCTAGGAAAACACATTTGTGTCTAAAGTTTACTTTTAGTTTTGTTTTTGTTATTACCCCCTGGTATATATCATTATTCTTATTTTAAAAGAATGATGAAGATGTTCCATCTGGGAAAAGGAAGGTAGACTCACAGGCGCCTGTTTGCCAGTATGTTTTTGTAAGTATTGCATGGCAAGTTCATCAAGTTCAAAAATACTTATAAAGACATTCTAATGTGTCTCTGGATCTCAAGGTCAAGACCAAGGTCAGTTACTATAAATAGAAATCATTTGTTGATTCAACTTCTACATTTAATAACTTCAATCTGTCTCAGTTTTTGGTCAAACTTCATACAAGTATCAAGTACGAGTGTATTTAAGACATTAGTATGTGTCATGGTTCCAAGGTTACAGCCGAGGTCCTGTTACTATTTATAGAAACTCATAGATGAATTCAACTTCAACACTATTTAACTGATTTTTTAAACAGAATTTCACCAGAATTTATACAAATGTCTAATAAAAGACATACCCATGTCCACTTGTATAAAAAATCTCAATTTGAGATTTCCTTAACTTGAGATTTTCCTTAGTTGAGATTTCCTCAAATATGACTTGTATAAAGATTCCTCAATCGACTTGAGGACGTCCTCAACTGAGGAAAAGTTGAGTAGAATTTGCAACGGCGTAAGCGGTCCGATTTCGAACTCTTTTTGAAAAGAGGTAAATAACGCTAATACTTTTTCGTGCTTTTTCCCGTAAACTGTCAAAGCGCGAGCCGGGGTGAAGGTAAGTTTCACATAGTCGTCTGCTTGTGATTGAAACTGAAATATGGCTGAATCAAGTAAGAGAGTGAGGAGTGCTAACTGGACAGAAAGAGAGAAAATTTTGTTGATGGAGAGCGTGCGCGAGAGAGAGGAAGTGTTGTTCGGGAAGTTTACCGGGAGTGGCGGACAAATGGGTTTGTCAAATAAAGCGAAGGACAAAGGATGGGAGGATGTGGCTGCAGCTGTTAATGCGTACGTATATATAATTACCGGTACAATTTTGTTTCGATAGTGTGTTCAGATCTGTACTAAAACGACTAGAATTCGCATTATAAGCATAAAGTTATCTGATTAATTAGATGTCAAGATTACGTACATGTATAACGTGTGTATTACAAACACTGACAAATACATCCAGTAGGCAATGCAGTGTAGGATTTACACAGAGCAGTTGTTTTTGCTTGGAGTTACTCAGATTATGACCATTTTGATAATCTTCTCGTCTTTCACAATCATTGTTGATGCAGACGACAGGTGTAACACTAATAAACAATACCAAATCCGGAAGCAGAGCCAGAGTTATGTATAGGCCTTTGTTAAATTATTTTTCTAAGTCAAAGTAGATACCATGTATATATTCACAAACTTTATTGACAAAATAAACCCATATAGACACATTTTCAAACAATGTATTGCAAGTAAACACAATGAAAAATTATCCAATATCCTTAATGAAATTACATCTGTATAATTTCACTTCTTATGTATAGAGATTAAAAAATCACCACTGGATTTTAGTATGGATAATTCCTTGGGTGTTTAGGCAATCATGCCTTTGAGATTTATGTACTAAGGAAACAATTGTATATTGTGTGACACATAAATCAATATAACTTTAAGTGTGATTTTTATTTTTGCAACATTCATGGGGTCATGATAACATTGAGTTTCTGACATATTCATCATGAACTGTAATAAAGAGCAGTGTTAACAAGCTGACAGTATGTTGCAACTAGGATCCCCAAGGTTACATCTATAAAATATTTGATTACTTGGGAAAAAGACATGTATAGGTTGCCTAAATGTGTGTACATGTACATTTAATTTGACTATTATGATTTTTCCAGGAAAATTGGCAGACCAGAAATAAAGGGTTTCTATAAATGATGGGTGGATCAGGGAGGGGACATTTTTTTGCCAAGTATGAACAAAGTGTAACATTTCACTGTATTATTTTCAGTGTTGGGGTAGAAGTCTGATCTGTGTTCCAGATTAAGAAACAATATGACAACATTAAACAGAGAGGTATGCATGTCATAATGTACTTACAAGATAATATTGTTTTTGTTTTTTTTTATAAGTACAATGAAAATAAAAAAGAGTTTTAAAGTTATAAAATATAAATATTGCAACATAAAAATCCTTCATTATATTGTACATATATGTGCAGAATTGTATTTTGTGTCTTAATGCAAAATTAAAACAGTTCGGGTAGAAGAATATCAATTCAGGCCACTACACTTCTTATTGCTTATTTGAGATTGAAAAAAAATGTCCTCCAGTTTTGATTAAACTGTTCTAGATCAATGTGCATATCTAAGTACATGCATGCAATATCCTTCAAACAAAATAAAAAGTACACTGTATATCTAAAAGAATTCAAAATGTTCCTGCCATTAGAGGGGGTAATTCATATTACATGTCCGAGCAATACTAAACTCAGATACTATCTATTAAAATATGTCCCCTAACTGAAACTTTCATTTAAAGTGCATATCTCTATTGAAGCACTGAACTGTCATGTTCAGGCATTTTTGATTGATATAAATGACAGAGCTTTGCAGGCAAGTATCATGTTGCTCTATCAATATAATCTTGATCACGTTTTATTTGGCTTTTGCAGCTAAAGGTAAATTAGATGAACTGAAAAGGCCTAAGACAGGTGGTGGGCCAGTCCCCAAGGAGCAATCAGTTTATGAAAAAATATAGAGAGTCATGATGGGAGACCAAACATAGTTGGGCTAGGAACCTGTCTGGACACAGAAGGTAAAGAAAATGACTCCATATATTGGTAAAATTTATGAGATCATAAAACGAGAACATCTGTGACACTATAAGCTATTTTAACTCTTTTTCTTGTAAGTAATTAAATTCACAACACACAGAATCTGAGGAATACAAATTTAAAAGCCTACATACATTATCTTATTGTGTAAATTCTGCTTTCTGATTTATTACTAATAATAACTGTATTATGATTTTATTATGCCCATAGCATAATGCAAGTAAAAGATACTTAAAAGTTTATCAAGGTTTCAGATTTAGACAGGTTCCAGATTACTTATATCCATCTCTCTGTCCATCTGTACACACGCAGGCAGACAGATGTTTCACTATCACATGTATACAGTAGAAAATATAAGATATATATACTATTTCAGGGTTCCAACATGAGGGCAACTAATTTTACAGTGGGGGCAGGGGCATTTTTGTCTTAGAGACATTTTCTAGTCACTTTACCTCATCAATCTACTGAAGTGTTACAAATATTTTACTGGCTGAAAAGTTACAAGGATGAAGTTCAAAATTGTTTGCAAAGAGAAATTACCTCCTCAGACATGTTAGGTCACAGTTGTTAAATCGTGATTCACACTGTTACACTGATCAATACAGATACAAGTACTTAATAGGACTTTAAGTTTCATAAATCATTTCTGTAGAAACTTAGATTTTGTACTTAAGACTTTCTGTTTTATAATTTCAGAGGGTACAGTTTCGACTACATGGATAAATCCAGAGGATGGCAGTGAATCCATAACCACTCTGACTATACCCCATGTATTGCAAAGCTTGCTAGGATATGGTGCTATTCCCAGAAATCATGGGTCTATACACTTTGACCACGAGTCACAACGTCTTTCCAGTGTAAATACTTGTGCACCGGCCATAACATTCAGCAGCATCTCTACCATCATTATTTATGAACATTTTACTAAAGCAATGCTAGACATCATAGCTGGAACTTATGGTTTTGGTTGTGTTTAAGAACACCATCAGACGGAGGCTATTAAAATCAAGTGATTTGAGGATTGAACTGTTAATTACTGCTACAGTTGCTGGTAATGTAATTATTTTATTAAACATGAAATATTGACATGATAATGATTATAAATGCTTAACAAGTTTCCCTATTTGTTTGTCACCTTTAGCAAGTAATTACACATAAATTAATGGGATTATGACCTACCACGAAGTTTGAAGTTTGTGCATGAATAATTGCTGACAGTCGACATAATTAAGCTAAGCTTCTTAATAATTATCAGTTCAAAAATATTTGACACCTAAGCTTACTGTTTTAGGATTGAGAAAAATCATTCATACACAAAAAGCCATTAGCCACCTTTATTTGACTGTACTCTAGGCAGTTGGTCAAACGTCCACACAAATATATTAATGAAGGAAATAAAATATAGAACAGTAAGTAAATGTCTAAGGAAAACCTATCAATGTTAAAATTGTAAATATCATTTCAAAAGAGGAAAGATAAAAAAAATGGAATGATACTGTTAAAATATTACCTGGTATACAATAATTATCAAAGAAAATAAAATATTTACACTAGCATATTAATGAGATGTTTTTGTCAATATTATGAATTACTTTGTCAAAGGGTACAAGTGAACAAGACTGCAGTTGTATATTGCATTTGAAGAATTACAATCCCCCACTAGATGTAACAACATATTTCTCTCCTTTCCTGCATGACGAAGGTCACTGTGACCTACTTTTGGTACATGACACACTGTCTCACCATATACTACGTATGAATTCCCAGTACGAAATATACAAGAATATCAGAAATGTTTCGCCTACCCTGGACACCTTTGACCCTCGGACCTGAAAAGCAATCCTAAGCAAGCCCTTTTGATGAGGAAGCACTGTATTAAGTTTGAAATTGATTGGCCAAAGGAAAGTAAAGCTATTGCGAAAAAACTGATTTTATATTTATAGTAGTAGTGACCTTGACCTTTGACCCTCAGACCTGAAAAGCAATCCCAAGCAAGCACTTTTGGTGAGGAAGCACTGTATGAAGTTTGAAGTTGATCGGCCTATTGGAACTCAAATTATCGCAGAAAAACCTTAGTGTGTATGACATCGCCGACAAAGTGATCCCTATTTGTTGCAATATTATTATAGGAAATAGAGCCAGGACAAGTTTTTTTTTTCGAAAAAAAACATAGGTCAAAGTCACAACGACCTACTATTGGTATATGACATGGTACCACCAAGTATGAAGTTCCAGTACAAAATAGTATTGAAGATAGAAACTGGACAAGATTGCAGAAGAGACTGACAGAACAGATGCAAATCTATCAGTACCCCAGCATTAACAGTAAATCAACTTCATATTGAAATAAAATGTTTCTATTTTCATTTAGAGGCAGTACTTTAGTTAGATAGTAATTATTCATTCACACCTACTACGATAACTTTTTCAAGTTGCACCACTGTTATTGTCTTTTATTGCTGGATCACATCCAAAACCTCTTGAAAAATTTCGACTCCAAGCTGTGTTGATTCAAAGGATCGTGATAATATTCCTCTAACAGCACATCTATACTGTTCCGAAATACTTGTTTCGGGAATGTCAATACCATTCACATCCAGGTTAATTGGCCCATCAACATCAATGCCAAAATGTTGCAAGTCATCCTGGTGAAAGAGAAGTGTATGTAATTAGACACTGAAATAAAACTTAAAGGGGCATTCCTTCGTTCAAACGGCAGAAATATGCCAAAATTTCATTTTACAATATTTAACCAGAAAAGAGATTTACACGTCTGCTTATGCCTATTAGTAATGAAATATGAATAGAAAAGTACACAAAATCAATGCCTGAACAGTCATTCTTTGCAGTAATTAGTCATACTTTGAGTTGAATTATAAAATTTATAAGTTTAATACTGATGAAATCTGGGTTATTTGGAGACTAAGGTAAAGTTGAAATCTTTTGCCGTTCAGGAAAATTTACACATTTCCCGATTGATTTTATTTTTACAGCCGAAACTTGTTTCGGACGAAGTAATGCCCCTTTAATTATATTCAATTTAATTTGAAAATGAAGATGATCTGATGGAAATTGGAAAAGTTTTTACCCTTTTCAGGATGATACAGCTTACTAATTAAGTTTTGTAGAGATCAGTTGAAAATGGAAGAGATCACTGCATATTATCATACCAGGTATAGTGAAATAAACAAGCTTACAGTTAGTGTTGTATGCAACACATGTCCCCTGCCATATATAATACTGTATTTTTCTGCAAATAATCCCATGTCTGCTAAATGTAAGTGTATTATTACCTCATAAGCCCACCAAGATTCATAAAGATCAGTTGAAAAATGTAGATCTCCAGATAAATTGAAGTTTACGATGTATGCTGGCAGACGGACAACGCCATACCATCATACATCTGTCTTTCCAAAGGCATATAAAAACTAAAAGAAAAGGACGATGTGGTCCCCCTTCCACTCACCAGACTATCAAGACCAAACTCAACTGATAAATTTTTCATTGATTTAACAATTTGAACCTGAGCTGGTAGGTTAAAAGTTTTGATACAACTTAACCTCAGTAGTACCAGTGAAACTTTGTAAGTTCTTAACTGTTTTATTCCCTAAAATGCTGTGAGAGTGGATCAAGTTCGTTCATTAAGTAAACTTGGTAGCATGCTTCAGGCCCAATATCAGTATTTTTGACATATTCATCATGAGTCGCGCTGACCTCATGAATCTTGAAAAAATATCATTCCTTAACTAAGTCAACCATTCTAGTTTTGTTGATGTATGCCTTGTACTTGCTTCACAACTGACCTAACCATTCCTCTTAACCTTATGTCAATGCAATTAGCAAAAGTTGGGACTATGGCATAAGCCACACATCCACCAATCAACTGCATCGAGGTGTGGTATCAAATATTCCTTATGTTGTGGTTCAAGAAAATTGTGTAATTTTATTACCATGTTCTGTGATGAATCAAATATTCACCCAGATAACCATAGTTGCAGAGGAGTACTATTATTTTCTGTCCTTAGTGGTCTGTTCATCAGTGCATCCCGAAATTGATTAAGGTGGTTTTGGATCCAAGGCAGATACACTAAATGCAGAGCTGCCAGATGAACCTCATTCTCAACATTCACAATGCCCTCACTTTCCAAATTGTGAAACAAGTTAAAGTATAAACACGTCACACTACACCAAAGTTCCCTCCACAGTCTTTCAATTCTGAAAAAAAAAAAATTTATGATAAAAGTCTCATTTTGTTAAATGCAATACACTATGAATTAAGATTTTTGTTTTTTCACTTAAATTCCTGAGTACCCGGTAATATTTTATCTTGCTTTCAGAAATCACTGGTTTTATCATTGCAACACAAATAGCATCGTTTCAATCATTCAATGAGAAAACTTTCACACTATCATTACATTATTTCAAATATATAAAAATGTGAACAACATATTCTGAAATATGATTCCTTTATTACTTTCAACAGTTTCAACTTGCAAATCCATAACTTTCCATAGTGACATATTCTCATTAAATACTACATGCACTACTATTGTACAATTATGCCTTATAGGGTCCTCCACCTCCATCCACTCTATATACCTTGAAGTCTGAGACGTAAAATTTTAATATTTTGTTTACCTTTGGTTATGTACACTGCGACCAGCAATAACGCTATTTGATCCTCTTCTTTCCACCATGAATGCTGCGACTTCCACATTTTCCCCACCTTTGTCAGATCTCACTTTCTCCGGGAGGCCATACTCTGTAACAGCTTCAGTGAATGCTTGTAGTCTCTGCCCGATTATTTGAATTTATTTTTACCAGCCTCCATCTGGCAAATAAGATGGAGAGTTAAATATGCATAAAAGATAGATCAAGTCATCTAACAAAAACAAAAAAACAAAGTCTATATAGTTTGAATATCAGAATATATGACAATAGTAATATGCTAGCAACAAGTAATATAAGACTCTTCTATATGGGTATGTAGGATAGGGATATTCCACCTGAGGGGTCACAAAATATGGTAAAACCCGAGGCTTGCCGAGGGTTTTTACCACATTTTGTGATCCCGAGGGTGGAATATCCCTATCCTACATACCCATATAGAAAAGAGTTTTTTTCTCTCATTTCTAATCTCATATTATTAAATATTTGCACTCACCTCGCGGTAGCCATCACTGGACGCAGCCATTTTGCAGATTTCTATTTTTTTTCTTTGGGCCATATACATAAAAAAAAATGCTGAAATAAATTCTCCATCTCCGAATTTTGCAAACTACGTTTGCGGTCGAAAACATAATATGGACTTTGAATGTAAACATCCAACGTCAGTGTTTAACTTTTTTCTTCAAGCGGGCTGGGTCAAATACCCTGTCAAATATATCACCCAGAGACATGCGTACGCGTTCAAATATAGTGCCTTAAAACACGCAATAAAACAACACTTTTCTTTTTAATATGTACTATTGCTCACTTTATAATGTATCATAATCATTTTTTACATCTTTGAACATGTTGGTCAAGTTATTAATACTACTTCACTGTCAATAGTAATCTTACAAATCTTACACATTTATGAATGGAATTCTTGGTTTGCTTGTGAGATGACGTCACTTACGTCACACATTTCGCGCCACACAGACAGGAGGAAAGTTAGTCACTGTCACTTTCAATCACACATGGACGACGGCGGAAAGGCTGAGTCCCAGTTTGGTGATGCTGATATTTATAGAACAGTTTTGTTAATACGAGCCTGCAAACAATGACTCCAATCGACTATGCGTGTTTGTGGATGAAGCGGTTGACGAGGACATAGTCAATGAGTGCGTGGGAAAAAACTATGAATTACTCCGCGCGCGAGGCTTAATTACACAGGCGCCTGTGTAATAAACGTCTATCATGACCATGTTTATTGCTGTCACATGCCCGAGGGCGAACACCTTATTGACCTGGAAGCTACGAACAGACAACTAAGAAGAAATGGGTAAACTTAACAATTTATTTACACAATAACAATTAGAGACATAGCACACAAGTTCAACACTAACATATTACAGTTTGGTAGGGATCCCTCACACTACTACACACTACACCAGGTATTTGACTAGAAGAATAATTTTCAAGTAATTTCAAGGTCTCAGAAGTCGATTCAAATTTACACTAAATTTGAAGTATATTTAAAGTTCACTTATACATTTCATACAGCTTGAAATTCTCTAAACGTAAGCAAATTCATCATTGCTGTTAATGCAAATATACAGTACAGTTCATCCTAAATCCTCAATGACTCTTAAACCACAGAGAAGTACTAAAATGTCACTAATCAGCTGATAATGTAAACACTGCCAAAGTTCGGCAACACCGCTACTTCCGGTACACTTGTATACAGACAGTTCACAGTTCGGCTTACTGTATACGACTAAACACAGACGGTTCACAATTCGGCATCACACATTACATTACCGTACGAAACACAAAGTTCTAACAGGTTGACACAGCCCGAAAGTGCTCTACCCAACAGCTGTCTAATGCGATGGTATACGTCGACGTCTGTCCCGAAGCTGTCCAGCCGTCCGAGGACGAGTCATGTGCGATACAAGCTGACGACGAGGAATTTCACGAATGAGGCACTCCGGAACGCCGCTGGTCACCGGACGGGTATGTGTCCTTCCATATCCAGGCGTCGAGGCTGCAGCATCAGCCTGAGCCCACTACTGTCTAACTGGTCATGTCATTGAACTATATAAATGAAACAATACAATTTCTCACTACTGTGCCGTGACCAAAGACAATACAGCACACCACAGTTCGGCAGCCAAGCATTAAACTCACTTTTGCCACTTACACTAAAGAAAAATAGCTTCTAACATACCTTGTCAAGCTAAAGAAACATTTTCTTAGTACTATCATTTACTCCTATTGCCACTTAGTAGCCATTACATTACTGCAAAATACAGTTAAATAGATTTTCTAGTATGAAATTTACACCGCTGTTTCACAAAGTCCAATTATTCAAAATATACAAAAATATGGAATGACAGCTTGAGCAACTATTATCAATGAAGAACACATGATTAAAAGATCCGGACTCACCCCTGGGAATGTCCCGTTACCCCTTTAGCCTTGCATTATTTTGGACTTTTTGGCCCACAAATCTGGCCGTCCTTCTCTCGCCATGATCTCTCCATGTGCTTCCCCAACCCAGTGTAAGGTGTGCTCTGATTGGTCAACATTCTGAGCACTGACCAATCATATATAAGTAGACTGCCCTGCTGTAATATACTGAACCCCATAACATACCGTAATGTATGTAGTAAACAACTGTTAAACATAATTTTGTCTCAAAGTTAAATTACCGTAAATAACCTAACATTTTCCTCCTATCCATACAAAAATACCATTAAAAAGTTTTATAAATAAACATAACTCACTTCACCAACAATTGTATTATATTGTCACTACTTCGTGACAAGTGCTTATTAAATTTATACATGTACAATATCAAATTTATTAGTCGAGAGAATATTATCAAGCGAGATGTTCAATTATCATATCTTTTTAATTTCAGGAGAAAAAAATCATTTAAAAAACAGATGTACAATAAGTTAACATATTTCTATAATGACAATAGCCAGTGTCAAGGTATAAGCTCATCTTTGCACTTTGTGCCGGGTGAGCTAAAAAAAACTGTCTACAGTAAACTTGTTTAGAGCGACTGGTAACCATAGCAACAAAACTTTTCATACAAATTGAAAGATGTCAGCTTTAATCATATCTATTCCAACCTTATCAATTTGTGGTTTCCATCTATATGCCATAAAGCTTGGGGTCCACTGACACTGTATGTTCGGCTCTGGATACGACATGTTGAAAGGAATAGTCGTCTGAACAAGACACCCTCAGGGTCGACACTTTTCAAAGCAGCCCGGACTCTGTATTCTTGTATCCTAAATATTGATGAAAGTGATTTTTAAGAGGTCAATAGGCAGAATTACTTGAAGTTGTAATTTCACTGATGTGTGTTAACTTAGACCAGAACAATACCCAGGTAATTTTTTTATCAGCTAATTTAACAATTAACTTCAAAAAGATAAAACAACAGTATGATTCATTTTTTACTATGCATAAGATACTGTTTCTTGTTTGTATTTTGAGTTTCAATAAAAGATGCCTGGTTCCACTTGTATAAAGAGTCTCAACTTAACATTTCCTCATGCTGAGATTTTCCTCAACTAATATCTCCTCAAAAATGGCTTGTATAAAAATTCCCCAATGGAATTGAGGACATCCTAGCTGAAGACATCTTCAAGTTACTAAACAAATACAATAATACAAATGTACGTGTATAGGACGAGATTCCAAAGTAAAAGTTACTAAATTTACTACATATATTATGGCGGAAATCCCCTTCCATACATCCTGAATTGTAAAAGTTACTAAATTTACTACATATATTATGGCGGAAATACCCTTCCATACATCCTTTGATTTAAACATATTTTATTTGTACAAAGTATACAAGCAGGATTGGGCACAAGTTTTCTAACTTATATAAAGCCCTTTCCTATAAAATTTTACAAAATACATATTAACAAGACAAGACGACATGTTTAAATACAATTATAATATACGAAAAAAAAACGAGAGAGAGAGAGAGTTTAAATAACTTCATGTAGAGCGGTCTCTCCTGATACAAACAACACAAGTAAAAATACAAAACGCTTTTCATAACTTTCAAACTTTTCTACAGTTCATCACATCCCGTGCGAATACCGCTTCTCCTGGCATCCGGGTCCTTCAGGAAAAAAAAAAAAACGTCACTTGTGTCGGAGCAAGGAGAGACCAAATATTTTTACATTTATCACGGAAGGAGATAGAGGGAGGTAGATAGAGAGATAAAGATCAAAATCTGTTTGAATTAAGTATATATTGCTGAGTGATTTGACATATTTTTACATTATCTTCATATGAGTAGATAATACTACCATGTAGGAGTAACTGCAGGTCTAGAGGGATAAAATTATTTAGTTCTCGGTACAGAATGGCTCTCTGGTCCGAATAAATATTACAAACAAAAAAATAGTGGTAAGTATCTTCAACAGGGTGTCCACATTGACAGAAACGATAATCTATTAGATTGGATCTGAAAAAGGTCATTATTTAAGGTACTGGATTTATTTCTTAACCTAGCGTGTAGTATATTAGCCTTACGACTACCAAGCAAATAATAATATGGAACTAGTGTAGTGGGTCGAAGAGAATATTTATAGATAAAGTAAGAAACACTTTGTCTAAGTTCAAGTTCAAGTTGGTTCCAAAGTCGGATAGTAGACGGAAAGAAAGATAAGTTGTAGTCTGAAATTTAGTAAAGAATAATTTTGTGCATTACGGAGGTTATATTGTGAATTTTCAGATACTAAAGGGGGCAATAGAGTAGACAGATAATTTGGAGTGAGATTATTAACTATTTTGTAGAAAAGCTGTAGTTTTCTTCTAGTGCGTCTTTCTGATAATGGTTCTAGACCACTCTCAGAATACAGTGATTCTCTACTGGTATAAGAGGGTAAACCAGTGATAATTCTGATAGATTCTAACTGAAGTTTTTCTAGTTTGTCTGCATCACTGAGAGAACACCCATCCCAAACTTCACAACAGTATTCTAATAATGGAAGTATATAAGCCTTATAGATTTTGACTAAAGTTTGTCTATTTAACATGTATTTTAATTTACGTAGGATACTTACCTGTTTAGATGCATCTTTACAAATGTTTTCTATATGTTTACCCCATTTACAATTCTCATCTAAAGTTACACCTAGATGTTTATGATGTTCAACAAAATCGACACTCACATTATTATATTTAATATCTATGACATGATCATGCTCTATGTTTGAAATAAGTAAGGCTTCCGTTTTTAGGGGATTAAATTTAAGTTTTAAATTTTTTTAGTAGTCTGTTTCTTTTCCTAATTTCACGTCGTAATTCCGAATTGAACCAGGGCTTGTCGTTAGGTCGGATAGTAACAGTTTTTGTCGGTATGCATTCCCCGGCAATGTCTAGGTATCTGTTTGTAAATGATTCACACATATCATCCGGGGAATGCGACGTCGTAAATAAATCTAACCAGTCAGTGTCGTTTAGTTTGTCATTAAAAAGTTCAAAATTTGCTTCTCTATAACAAGTAATTTTGCGTTCATATGCCCTTTTAACAGCAGTCTCAACAGTCAGTTCAACAGATGTCGCTTTATGGTCAGAAAGGCCGTTATCTATGTCAATTACGTCAGAAAAATTATAAATACACGTGTCGGAGAGAAAAAATTGGGTAGTGTAGCAGTCGTGCGTCCAATGCGTGTCGGGCTGTCTATAACGTTGGTCAGGTGAAAAGAGTGAACAATGTCAGTAAGTGCATGTGTGTTTTCTATGGTTAGGAGATCAACGTTAATGTCACCAACAACAACTATATGTGTAGTTTCATGAAAAGCGGATTCTAGAGAAAGTCGAAAGTGATTCCAAAAGGCGTGTGAGATATTCGGAGGTCTATATAAAGTACACAACAAGTATTTCTTCCTTGGAAACTGGATCTCCGTCCAAATAACTTCACCCACCCGAAATTCTAAATCAGCTCTACGACGGGTGCACAAGAGCCTGGATGTGTATACAGCTATACCCCCACCCGGAGATCCCCTATCCTTACGGTATAATTCATAACCATCTAGGAGTACGTCAGCATCCGCTATAGATATATCAAGGTGAGTCTCAGTGACACAGACCATATCAAAATCTGATGTCAAATTTTCTAATTGAGATAATTTATTCCTCAAACTACGGATGTTAAGGTGAAAGATAGATATATCGTTATTTTCAGAGGGGCCAGGGTTAGGATGGATATCATTACAGACTAGTAGAAGGAGATGCAGTATTATCAGGAAACATGAATTATCAGTTATACAAGAAAGAAGGACATGAATGAAACAGCACAATCTTGTTAAGATAAATATCACTCTAAACCTGAAGTCATTAAAACACTTAAACATATTTATATAGATGAAAAACTTTTGTGAAATAGGTATACCGGTGATACGAAGATAGAAACAACCGATACTGGGCTAGATCATTACCCTTGATCGTCAAACAATAACTTAAACATAGAGAGGCCATCGGTCAAATAAACCACAGTTAAATTAAACATGTAATCGTCAAAACACTCAGTCTTAAGGTATGATATATATAGGTCGTGACAGGAAAGGTGAAAGGTGAGAAAGAAGAAAATATAGAGAAAGGACACATAAACAAAACACCTAAGTATTCTTATGTGGAATGTCATAATAGGAATGATGGAGAGGAAAAATAGAAAATGGTGAAGTACCTAGATTTGTTATAGAATAATTCTATAAAACAATATGAAAATTCTTTAGTCACTAAGTGAATATAGCTTTCTTTAAAATGAATTTCTATGTACAATAATATGATTCCATCTAGACATGAAAATATTACAGAAGGTGGAAATATTACCAGACTTGCACACAGACACACTTACATGAAACCACACACACATGCATACCCTATTCACTGATAAGGACAATTTACAGAAGTATTCATACAGGCACACAAGTAAAAATACACATGTAAAAAATAAACACATACAGCAACAGGAACTATGTACAAAAATATGCAAATTCATTGCATAGATCAAAATGACAATACATGTACAAAAATATCTTATCGGTATACTACACACTATATGTCGATAAACATATAAATTACTGTGTAACCATGTAAATACCTGGTGTTTTAACACACAATTACTATGCAGCCATGTAAATACCCAATGTATAAACATATAATTACTGTTTAACCAATAAATACTTGATGTATAAACATGTAACTACTATGTAACCATGTAAATATCTGATATAAGAAAACATGTAATTACTCTGTAATACCTGATATTTAAACATGTCATTATTATTAGAGCCATGTAAATACCTGATGTATAAACATGTGATTACTGTGTAACTGTGTTATCATGTGAGTACATACATCCTGAATTGTAAAAGTTACTAAATTTACTACATATATTATGGCGGTAATCCCCTTCCATACATCATGAATTATTGTGGGCCGAAATAAAGACTGATACATACGCCAGTCTGTTTGTTCGCGAGTGAATCGAT